GGCTGGTCTCTAAACTGTTTAGGGACTCAAATTATGGGAGCTATTTTTCCAAAGCTAGTGGCCAAGGCAGGCACGGTGGCTCACGAGCCTGTATCTAGCCTCTGGGAGGCAAGGCAGAGGATCATTTGAAATCAGGAGTTCGAGACGAGCCTGGCAGAGTGGAGATCTATCTCTACTAAAATAAATGCAGAAATTAGCTGGAACTAAAAATATATATAAAGAAAATTAGCCGGGCAATGGTGGCACATGCTGTAGTCCAGCTACTCCGGGAGGCTGAGGCGAAGGATCCGCTTGGCACAGGAGTTCAAGGTGCTGTGAGTAGCTGACGCATGGCACTTAGTCCCGGTACAGGAGGGAGACTCTGTCTCAGAAAAAAGAATCCTAATGACATACAATATCTCATACTAATGATTTCCTAATTAGCCAAGCGACTTAAACAATGTTAAATGGGTGGAGGGGGATATGTTAGGCAAAGCGTCAAATTTCTTTCGAAGAGTCTCACTGTTCTGGGCGTAGGTGCACATGCGTCAGCCTGCTCACGCACTGTGCATCCTGTTGCTCAAGCGTCCTTCTGCCTCAGCCTCCGGTAGCTGGGACTACAGGCATGATGCACCATGCGGCTAATTTTTCCACTATTATTTTTTTAGTTGTCCAGCTAATTTCTTTCTTTTTTTAGTGAGGATGGGTCTCCTTTGCTTCAGGCTTATCAATCCTGTCTCGAATTTTCCTGTTTCAAATGATCCTCCTGCCTTGGCCTCCCAGAGTGCTAGGATTACAGGTGTGAGCCACCGTGCCTGGCCTTGGCATAGCTTTGGAATATATATGCTCCCATAATTTGGATGTTCCCTAAACAGTTTAGAGACCAGCCGGGGATGAATAAGCAGTTGAGTAATAAAGTCCATTTGCACTCACTCAAAGAATGATTTGCCAAAGCCAAGAGAAGAGAGAACTAAGCTAAGGACAACTGGGCTTCTATCTAATAATGTTCATGCTCCTTAAGCACAAAGTCACCAAGAGTCATTATCTTATCTGGCCAGTGCTCATCATATTAAATGCTATATGTGAAATGTTTCTAAACAGTAAGATTTAACTCTCAGTTCATGAGATTTCTTTGTTAAATAAGTATATTCAAAAACCATTTTTTTAACCTCTTCTACATGTCAGATATTCTAGGTGCTATGGAGGCAAGGCATTCCAGTCCTTGAGGAGCTCAAAGTCTAACAGGGGAGATAAATAAATAGATTAATTATTAAACAACATAATAAATATTGATAGATATGAGAAGGTGGTGTGGGAGCATGGCAGATACAGCAAGTAAGGCTAAAGAATTGGTGAACTTGTCATCCAGGAGTTGCGCTTTGAAGAATGAGTTTATTAGGCTGTGAGGAAGGTTCTAGTCAGAGAACAGCATTAGCAAAGGCATGTAGTCAATCATAAGAGAGCTTGCTTTATCTGGGTATAGTGTCACGTTCAGTGTGGCAGAAGTATGGGGGACTAAGGGCAATTTGTGGGAAGATAGGTCCAGAGAGTTGGATTGGGCCATGGTAGAAGTGCCTCATTTGTTCAGTTTAGATCTTATACTATGAGCAGTGGGGAATTGTTAAAGACTTAGGCAGAAGAATGATGAAATCAGCCTTATTTTTCAGTAAGTTAGTGTTGGTGATATTAAATGGTAGAGAAGAGATAATGGACTGTAATGAAGTTTTCTAGATAGTAATGGTAGGATTGGATGATGCCATGCATATATATGGGGGGTGAGAGAAGAAGAGAAATCAAGAATGACTTAGGTTATGTAGTTGTGAGTTGGATGGTAATAATCTCTAACCAAAACTTTTATATATAAATGATTGCTCTTCATCATGTCATTCAAGGTTATATGTTGCTGTTACCTTGATATTTTGTAAGATTTTGGGATGCCATCAAATCAAGTTTAAAGGTCATGTAAGAGAAACATAGTCACATCTTGTTTTGGACTAAAAGTGGTATTACTCAATTTCGATCACAGACTTGGCTTTGAATAATTTTTGTTTTTTTCCAGAAGTCAAATTCATTTTTAGCAGATGAATATTTTTATCACCACTGAGGGTTTAAAAAGAATGTGATATGAATTTTAAAGACATTGAGGAGACCAGTGAAAAAATATCTTATGTATATGTGATATATTATAGTTTAGAGAATGCTTTCTTCTGCATTCTCTTATGTAATCCTTCTAGCAGCCAATAAGGTAGGTATTATCAATACCATTTTACAAATGCAAAAGCTGAAGTTCAGTGACTCACTCAAGTTATACAACTTATGCAGATTTAAGACTCCAGTCTGGCTTTTTTACTTTCCAGTGTTCTTTCTACATTACTGGTTCTGCCCCAATCCAAAGAAGAGTTTCAAAAATGATTTGAGCAATGATTACATTTTGGGGGGGGGACATGTATAGTACATGTGCAAGGGGACAACACTAAGTAGAAGTTATATGTTATGGCTTATTAATTAAAAACAAAGGGCTGGGCACGGTAGCTCACACCTGTAATCCTAGCACTTTAGGAAGCTGAGACAAGAGGATCACTTGAGGCCAGGAGTTCAAGTTTAAGACTAGCCTGGACAACATAGGGAGACCTTGTCTCTGCAAAAAATAAAAATAAATTTAAAAAATAAATAAAAATAGGCCGGGCGCGGTGGCTCATGCCTGTAATCCTAGCACTCTGGGAGGCCCAGGCGGGTGGATTGTTCAAGGTCAGGAGTTCGAAACCAGCCTGAGCAAGACCTCTACTATAAATAGAAAGAAATTAATTGGCCAACTAATATATATAGAAAAAATTAGCCAGGCATGGTGACGCATGCTTGTAGTCCCAGCTACTAGGGAGGCCAAGGCAATAGGATTGCTTGAGCCCAGGAGTTTGAGGTTGCTGTGCTAGGCTGCCACGACGGCACTCATTCTAGCCTGGGCAACAAAGCAAGACTCTGTCTCAAAAAAAATAAAAATATAAATAAATAAAAATAAAGGCCAGATGTGGTGACTCACACCTGTAATCCTAGCTACTTGGGAGGCTGAGGTGGGAGAATTGTGTGAGCCTAGGAGTTCAAGGCTGCTGTAGGCTATTATTGGGCCACTGCATTCCAGCCTGGATGACAGAGTGAGACCCTGTCTCTAAAAAAACCAAACCAAATAAAAAAATAAAAATGAAAAAATGAAACAAAATATTCTTACTTTCTAGCTATAATGTATAAAGCACCATTCCTGGGTAGAAAAGAGAAATCTTTTCAGAGTTTCTGGTTTCACATGAAAGGCAAGGATAGATACCTACTTTTGTCATATTTCTAATAAGGTTATGGCATTTGTGCAGCTAGTTTCTGTAAGGGCCTTGTGGAAAGTTTACATTGGTATTTGTCTGGGAAACAATAGCAGTAGACAGAGCCGGCCATAGATTCCAACCCACATCTGCAAACTCGTGCTGGGTAGCTCAGTGACTGGGACTAGCCGGGTGTGAGGAATGCATGCCCTGCAACTTCAGAGTCACAATTCAATTGATTTAAAGAGATTTGTTCCCACTTCTTTCTGGGAGCCTTGGGTACACAATGTCTGTATTCACCTCTTGCCTCCAAAGCTGGAAAGAGGGAAGAGCCAAAGAAGGAAGTATTGGTTGGATTTTTTTCCTTCAAATAGTGGACCCTTCTAGTGTACTAGTATAAAGCATAGGTCTTTTGAAATTGTGTATCTAATATCAGCGGTGTGAGGGACATCAGGAGCTCTTTTAAAAGATCATGGGACTTAATGAGATTTTTTATCTCCGTAGTAATTTGCACATAGTAGATAATGCAATAAACTTTTGTAGAATCAATGTATATTTAAGTTTCAGTCCCAGAACTTCAGTCTGATCACCTTAAATGTTCTTGGAAAGATTTGTTACAGTGATGCGACTAATGAGTATAGCGGTTGTTTGTTTTTCATAATACAGGTTGAGCATCTTTTATCCAAAATGCTTGGGACTAGAAGTGTTTAGAATTTCTGATTTTTGAATATTTGCATTATACTTACCAATTGAGCATCACTATACCAAAAACCAAAATCTGAAACACTCCAATGAGCATTTCCTTTGAGCATTGTGTTGGTGCTCAAAAATTTTAGATTTTGGAGCATTTCAGATTTTGGATTTTCAGATTAGGGATGTTCAACCTGTATTGTGTAAACTTTGGATCAGTTAAATTCTCCTTAGATAGAATGCCTGGGCACATCTTGTATTTTGACTAGAAAAGCAATTCTGGAACTGATGTCTACATTTCAAAAATAGCAACTTATTAGTAGAAAACTTGTGTATCCTCTTTAAATACCTTTTCATGGGTTGATAAAAAAAAATTTGCATTCTTACATTTTTGCACTTTTTTTTTTCTATTATCCATTCATTCATTCCCTGCCACCCCCACCCTTTTTTGCACTGTTATAGGAGAAAATTTTGGACTTAAAATTCATCCAGGTTGTCTGGAACTTGATGGTAGTTCTTGAAATGACCTGGCTTAATATTCAGGACCCTCTCTCCACAAACCCCTTGTTTTTCAGCCTTTTTAATTCATCCATTTGTGGCAAGTCTCCGCTGTAGCTAAGCTATATGCTTACTGTTGCCAGTGGCTCACTCTGCTTTTTTGTTTGTTTTTTTAGCCCTGTCTTTTAATCATCAACTCCTGTAAGACCTAGCTTTAAAAAAAATCACTTTGTATAATATATTTCTTTGTTGAACATTACCACTCTGATTATTCTTTTACCTTATTTTTTCCTTATTATTTGTGTTCAGTTAAAACAGTTTGCATTTGTAGGTAATATTTCTGATTGTTCTTGGGTTACTTAGAGTTGTAACTTTCCGACTAGAAAATGATCTCAAGGACAGGTTGTGTTGTTATTTTCATCTTTTAATCTTCCACCCCTAAGTCTAATATACTACAGAAATAGAGAAGTTGATATACTGAAGTTGATCTCTAAATGTGTATTGATTCTTGATTCTCTTATCTTGCAGACATGTTGGCCGTCATTGTCTCCGAGCTCACCTTAGTCCTCAGCTGTGTATCCGAAAGTAAGTTTTTCCCCGTCTCTACTATGAATAGAAAGAAATTAATTAGCCAACTAACATATATATATAAAAAATTAAGGCCGGGCGCGGTGGCTCACGCCTGTAATCCTAGCACTTTGGGAGGCCGAGACGGGCGGATTGCTCAAGGTCAGGAGTTCGAAACCAGCCTGAGCGAGACCTCGTCTCTATCAAAAATAGAAAGAAATTAATTGGCCAACTAAAAATATATATATACAAAAAATTAGCCGGGCACGGTGGCGCATGCCTGTAGTCCCAGCTACTTGGGAGGCTGAGGCAGTAGGATTGCTGAGCCCAGGAGTTTGAGGTTGCTGTGAGCCAGGCTGACGCCACGGCACTCACTCTAGCCTGGACAACAAAGTGAGACTCTGTCTCAAAAAAAAAAAAAATTAGCCGGGCATGGTGGCGCATGCCTGTGGTCCTAGCTAGTCAGGAGGCTGAGGCAATAGAATTGCTTGAGCCCAGGAGTTTAAAAAAAAAAAGTTTTTAAGTCTGGAGATTATTTCTTTTTTTCCCTTAGGAAAAAGCAATAGGTTGTTGACTTAGATTTGGGGGATATGTATGAAAGCGGGCAGTCGTAGACAGTTGGTTGAAACTTTAATAATTGACCGAGCACGGTGGCTCACGCCTGTAATCCTAGCACTCTGGGAGGCGGAGGCGGGCGGATTGTTCAAGGTCAGGAGTTCGAAACTAGCTTGAGCAAGAGCAAGACCCTGTCTCTACTATAAATAGAAAGAAATTAATTGGCCAACAAATATATATAGAAAAAATTAGCTGGGCATGGTGGTGCATGCCTGTAGTCTCAGATTCTCTGGAGGCAGAGGTAGGAGGATAGCTTGAGCCCAAGAGTTTGAGGTTGCTGTGAGCTAGGCTGCCGCCACGACACTCACTCTAGCCTGGGCAACAAAGCGAGACTCTGTCTCAAAAAAAAAAAAAAAAAAAAAAAAAATCTTTAATAATTGTGATTACTATTTTTCTCATCTGGTAGTAGAAGGAGAGATATTTATTTGGTCTTTTCTTAATTTTTCTTACTTTCAGCTTTTCTGCTATATTTAATTTCACTGATTTGCTCTGCCTTCTCGATTCCTTGTTTGATGTCTGATTCTCTTCTATTTTTTTTGGAGACAGAGTCTCACTTTGTTGCCCAGGCTACAGGGTGAGACAGGAAGATTGCTTGAGCCCAGGAGTTTGAGGTTGCTATGAGCTAGGTGACAACACGGCACTCTAGCCCCGGCAACAGAGAGACTATGTCTCAAAAAAAAAAAGAAAAGCCAAGGAGTGCAGATGGTAATCTATGAGATTACTTGTGGCCTGGGAAAAGGGTAATCCATTTATTTCAATTGTTTTGAAATGTTGCACTTGCCCTACAGCATAGCAAGAAAGAAGATGGGCTTTCATTACCAGACCTGTGTATTGGTGGGATTGGAAAGCATGTTTCCTCCAATAGGACCTCATCAGATATTGGATTATTAACTGAATCAAACTTGGCATAAAAATAAGTTCAAGTGAAGGAATATGTTTTCCTAGTAGAGTAGGTTTGTCCAGTCCACATTTCTAATGAAACTTTTTGTTATACAAAATTGTTACAGCAAGTGTTAACAGTGGGTGGTCCTGAGGACAAACCTAGAGAGAGAATCAAAGTTTATTCACTGGTGGCCTCAGAGGGATTTCACCACCAAATTCTAAGCCCCATCTACTCGATTTTTCCGACTTTTATAAAGCTGGGATGGTCTGAGGGTTGGGTGTCTCAGGTGGCTGATGAGCCAGGTAATAGGTTAGTTGATGTGTCAGGTAATAGGTTAGTATTATGTTGATGCGGGTCTTCTGCATCAGGTGGCTGATGCGCCAAGTAATAGATGTGGTTTTCCTTATCAAAATAGTAAACCAAGCTAACTTTCAATTCTTTTAAAATTTTCTGGTTTTATTTTAGTGCTGTTCCCCTGGGGACCACAGCCAAAGAAGAGATGGAGCGGTTCTGGAATAAGAACACAAGTTCAAACCGTCCTTTATCTCCCCATATCTCTATCTACGGGTAAGGAAGGGATCTGGAACCAGAGAATCTAGAAGTAGTGGGTGAAAGTTCTATAGGTTGGCCCTTAGCCTACCTGGTATCTCTCTCACTTTTACTCAGTTCAAGTACAGCTATATAGGTGAAGTGAACCCTTCAGGGTGGAGGGAGCTATTATAAAGGTTATCTCAGGCCTTTTTTTTTTTTTAACTTTAAATACTGTTTAATAACATAAGAAAACATTTCTGATGTAGCAATAAGTAAAAGAAGGAGAATTTTTTAAGTATTATAGCATGATTCCTATTGTTATAAAATAAATAAGTTACTATTGCATAGAGTTAGGAATGAATGGCTTTGGGCCGGACATGGTGGCTCACGCCTGTAATCCTAGCACTCTGGGAGGCCAAGGCGGGCAGATTGCTCAAGGTCAGGAGTTCGAAACTAGCCTGAGCAAGAGTGAGACCCCGTCTTTACTATAAATAGAAATTAATTGGCCAACTAATATATATAGAAAAAAAAAATTAGCCAGGTATGGTGGCACGTGCCTGTAGTCCCAGCCTCTCAGGAGGCTGAGGCAGGAGGATTGCTTGAGCCCAGGAGTTTGAGGTTGCTGTGAGCTAGGCCGACGCCATGGCACTCTAGCCTAGGCAACAAAGTGAGACTCTGTCTCAAAAAAAAAAGAATGAATGGCTCTGAATTATAGAACTATGAGTGCTTTTTATTTTATTATATTTTCTATAATCTGTGTAAATTAGTTTTATAATTAGAAAAATATTCTTTTTATTTTTAATCATTATTTTCAGAAAATTACAGGGATACAAAGGCTTTGGTTATATATGTGTTGCCATTGCATTGCCCAAATGAGAGCTATAAACATGCCCATCCCCCAATGTGCATTGCACCTGTTAGGTTTGAGTTTACCCATCCACTCCACCTCCTCCCACCTGCCCAATACCTCATGAATGTTACTTTCATATGTGCACATAAGTGTTGATTAATTAGTACCAATTTGATGGTGAGTGCATGTGGTACTTGTTTTTCCATTCTTGTGGTACTTCACTTCTAAGAATGAGCTCCAGCTCCATCCAGCATCATACAAGAGGTAGTTCATCTTTTTTTATGGCTGAGTAGTACTCCATGGTGTACATATACCACATTTTATTAATCCACTCATGTATCGATGGGTACTTGGGTTGTTATCTTTGCAATTGTGAATTGTGCTGCTATAAACATTCGAGTGCAGACGTTTTTATTATAGAATGCCCTTTGGGTAAATACCCAGTAGTGGGATTGCTGGATCAAATGATAGTTTTAGTTCTTTGACATATCTCCATATTACTTTCCATAGAGATTGTACTAATTTGCAGTCCCACCAGCAGTGTATGAGTGTTCCTATCTCTCAACAACCATACGAACATTAGTTGTTTTGGGACTTTTTGATAAAAGCCAGTCTCACTGAAGTTAAGTAATATCTTGCATTTCCCTGATAATTAGAGATATTGAGCAGTTTTTCATATGTTTCTTGGCCATTAGTCTGTGATTTCTTTTGAAAAGTTTCTGTTCATGTCCTTTGCCCACTTTTTAATGGGGTTATTTGATTTTTTTTCTTGTTGATGTTCCTGAGTTCTGTGTAGATTCCAGTTATCAGCCCTGGATGTGTAGCATGCAAATATTCTCTCCCCTTCTGTAGGTTGTCTATTTGCTCTAACGATAGTTTCCTTGGCTGTGCAGAAGCTTTTTAATTTGATCAGGTCCCATTTATTTATTTTTGTTGTTGTTGTGATTGCTTTTGGGGTCTTATTCATAAATTCTTTGCCTAAGCTGATGTCTATCAGAGAAATACTCTTTTTATTTTTTATCATTATTTTCAGAAAATTATGGGGATACAAAGGCTTTGGTTATATATATGTTGCCATTGCACTGCCCAAGTGAGAGCTATAAGCATGCCCATCCCCCAGTGTGCATCCCCCTGTTAGGTATGAGTTTACCCATCCGCTCTACTTCTTCCCACCTGCCCAACACCTGATGAGTGTTACTTTCATTTTCTTTTATTTTTTATTTTTTTGAGACAGAGTCTCACTTTGTTGCCCAGGCTAGAGTGAGTGCCGTGGCATCAGCCTACCTCATAGCAACCTCAATCTCCTGGGCTCAAGTGATCCTACTGCCTCAGCCTCCCGAGTAGCTGGGACTACAGGCATGTACCACCATGCCCGGCTAATTTTTTGTATATATATTTTTAGTTGGTCAATTAATTTATTTCTATTTTCAGTAGTGACAGGGTCTTGCTCAGGCTGATTTCGAACTCCTGACCTTGAGCAATCCGCCTGCCTCAGCCTCCCAGAGTGCTAGGATTATAGGCGTGAGGCACCACGCCCAGCCCATTTTCTTTTAGAATTCTTACAATTTCATGCCTTAGATTTAAGTCTGATATTCATTGTGAGTTGGTTTTGGTTAGAGGTGCAGATCCTGCTTCAGTCTTCTATGTGTGGCTATCCAATTTTCCCAGCACCATTTATTGCATAGGGATTCTTTTCCCCAGTGTTTTTGTCTGCTTTGTCAAAGATCAGATGACAATATGAAGATGGTTTTATATTTAGGTTTTCAGTCCTGTTTCATTGATCTATGTCTCTGTTCTTGTGCCAATACCATGCTGTTTTGGTTACTATGGCCTTGTAGTATAGCTTGAAGTCTCAGGTCTTTTTTATATGGAGATGATTAAATTCTGTTGTCTAGCCTTATAAGGGTAATCTGTTCTGCAAAACTATTGTTCAGAAAATTCTGGTAAGCCAACAGAATTAATTTTTAAAAAATTGAAACAATTTCAAATTTACATAAAAATTACAGAAATAATATAGTTCCATATATCTTTATGCAGATTCTCAGCTTGTTAACATGTCTGAATGATTTAAGAACAAGTTTTATTTCAACATGGATTTAAAAAGAAAAGAAAAGTAGTTCTAGAAACAATGCCCTATTACTCCAGTATTGTTTTTCTATTGCTGCTATAACAAGTTTTTCACAAACATAGTGGCTTAAAATAACATGAATTTATTATCTTACTATTCTGTAGGTTAGAAGTGTGACATGGGTCTCATTAGGCTAAAATTAAGATGTTTGCAGCGGGCTGCATTCTTTTCCAGAAGCTCTTTTCTAGATTCTAGAGGCCACCCACATCCTTGGCTTACGGCTGCCTTTCTCCATCATCAAAGCAAGCATCAGCAGACTCCTCACTTTGTGTCATTCTGACCTCTTCTTCTGCCAACCTCTTCTACTTTCAAGGATCCTGGTGATTACATTTGGACCCACCCAAGTAATTAGTCCAGGGTAATCTCTCCATCGCAGGGTCCTTAATTTAATCATATATACAAAGTTCCTTTTGTGGTAGAGGTAATATCTTTATAAGTTCTGGGGTTTAAGACATTGACACTGTTGGCAGGGTGTATTATTTGCCTACCACAGTCCACCTAGCCCTCAAAGATTATGTCTGTCCCGTGTGCAAAATACATTGACCCCATCCCAGTGACCCCAAAAGTTTTAACCCATTACAGCAGCAGCTCAAAGTCTTAAGATTTCATCTAAATCTGACCATATAAATCAGATATGGATGAGGCTCTGGGTATAATTCCACCTGAGGCAAGTTTTCTCATTTGTGAAACTCAAGCAACACATTACCTGCTCCCAAAGTACAGACATAGAATAGTTGTAGACATTCCTATTAAAAGAGTGAGAAAATGGAAGGAAAAAAGGAGTCTCTGGTTCCAAACAATTTTGAATCCAGCATTTAAACTCCATTTGCTTTTAAGGCCTGATAATAATCCTTTGGAGCTATTGGCTCTGTCCTCTGGGCGTATAGTTCCACCCTCCATCTTTCCTTGTTCTTGAAAGGTGGCATGTGTTTTAGCTGCTGAGAGTTTTAATAGCCTGTTTCTTGTCTGTAGAATTTTAGGGGTGAAAGGCCTTCTTTTCATCTTTTCTAACTTTTAGTGCATCCTGGCAATATTTCTGTTGCTATAACATTCTCAAGAACCTATGTTTGTCATGGGGATTTGCTCCATTAGATAAGAGACTCCCCTAGAGATCTTTCCTAAATAATCCCATCTCTATTTTGGGCTTCTGCTGAGATGGGGGTGGGGGAATGGATCTATTTGTAATGTGCTTAATCTCCTCAAAGAGCCTGTTGTATGATTGAATATTCATTCTGTCCTTTTGATCTTTCTGAAGTATTAAGGTATTAAGTATTAAGGTTATATGTCCACACCCTTGGCTTTTTCTGTTTTGACGGTAAATATCTTAATTTTAGGTTTTTTTTGCTACTGGAAAGGCTGAGAGTTTCCCAAATCATTAAGTCCTGGTTCCTTTTTGTTTGTTTTTCCCTCAGTCTCTCTTTTTCCTTTTGCATTTTATTATAAGCTACAAGAAGAAACCAAGTTACACCTTCACTAAATTCAGCTTTCCACATTACAACAGGACATAATTCTGCTAAACTTTCTGCCACTATATATCAAGGTCCCCTTTCCACAAGTTTTTTTTTTTTTTTTTTTAAATATGTTTGCCATAGAAAACAAACAGGCCCCCTGTCGTAACAAAAGGCCTACAAGTTTTTTGTTTGTTTGGGTTTTTTTTTTGAGACAGAGTCTCGCTTTGTTGCCCAGGTTAGAGTCAGTAGATTTTTTTTTTTTTTTTTGAGACAGAGTCTCGCTTTGTTGCCCAGGCTAGAGTGAGTGCCGTGGCGTCAGCCTAGCTCACAGCAACCTCAAACTCCTGGGCTCAAGCGATCCTTCTGCCTCAGCCTCCCGAGTAGCTGGGACTACAGGCATGCGCCACCATGCCCGGCTAATTTTTTATATATATATATCAGTTGGCCAATTGATTTCTTTCTATTTATAGTAGAGACGGGGTCTCGCTCTTGCTCAGGCTGGTTTTGAACTCCTGACCTTGAGCAATCCGCCCGCCTCGGCCTCCCAAGAGCTAGGATTACAGGCGTGAGCCACAGCGCCCGGCCAATTTCTTTCTATTTATAGTAGAGATGGGTCTCACTCTTGCTCAGGTTGGTTTTGAACTCCTGACCTCGAGCAATCCCCCCCCTCCCAGAGTGCTAGGATTAACAGGCGTGAGCCACTGCACCCGGCCAGGCCCACAAGTTTTTAATAACGTATTTCTCATTTCTTTCTGAGCCCTCACTAGCTGAATTAACATCCATATTTTTAACAGCATTTTTTTGTTTTTGAGAGAGAGTCTCTGTTGCCTGGGCTAGAGTTCTGTGGCGTTAGCCTAGCTCACAGCAACCTCAAACTCCTGGGCTCAAGCGATCTTCTGCCTTAGCCTCCTGAGTAGCTAGAACTACAGGCATATACCACCATGCCTGGCTAATTTTTTCTATGTATTTTTAGTTGGCCAATTAATTTCTTTCTATTTTTACAGAGACGGGGTCTCGCTCTTGCTCAGGCTGGTTTTCAACTCCTGACCTTGAGTGATCCGCCCACCTCACCTCCCAGAGTGCTAGGATTACAGGTGTGAGCCACCGTTCCTGGCTAGTTTTATCATTATTGATTGAGATGGCATCTTGCTATGTTGCCCAGGTTGGTTTCAAACTCCTGGCCTCAAGCAATCCTCCCACCTTGGCCTCTAAAAATGATAGAATTACAGGCATGAGCCACTGCTCCTGGCTAGCATAATGTTTTTATAAAGTCATCCATATTTTAACATGTGCCAGTACTTTGTTCCTTTTTATGGCTGAATAATATTCCAGTGTATGGACGTACCACATTTTATTTACTCATCTGTCAATTGATGGACATTTAAGCGGTTTCCAATTTTTGGCTATTATCAGTAATGCTGCTGTGACATGTGTATATAAGTTTTTGTGTGGACATATTTACTTCTCTTGAGTATACATCTAGAAGTAGAATTGTTGCATGATATAACTCTATGTGTAACATTTTGAGTAAATACCAGACTTTTCCAAAGTGATTACACCATTTTACTTTCCTACCAGCAGTGCATGAGGGCTCCAGTTTCTTACTCTGTCACCGCAGATAAGAGTGCAATGATGTCATTGTAGCTCACTGCAACCCATACTCCTGGGCTCAAGCAATCCTGCCTCAGCGTCCCAAGGAACTGGGACTATAGGTGCGTGCCACAACACATGGCTAATTTTTCTATTTTTGGTAGAGATGGGTCTTGCTCTTTCAGGCTGGTCTCGAACTGACCTCAAACGATCCTTTCGCCTCGGCCTCCCAGCATGCTAGGACTACCAGCGTGGTCCACTGCTTGGTCAGCATCCATACTTCTACTAACAGTTTATTCAAGGCAATGTAGGCTGCCTTTTTTTGTTTTTTTATCATGGTCCTAAAAATTCTTTTAGTCTCTTCCCACTGTCCAATTCCAAAGGCACTTTACATTTTTGGGTACCAGTACTTTGTTACAGCAGCACTCCCCTTCCAGGCACGACAGTCTATATTAGTTTTCTTTTTTTTTTTGAGACAGAGTCTCGCTGTTGCCCAGGCTATAGTGAGTGCCGTGGCATCAACTAGCTCACAGCACCTCAACTCCTGGGCTCAAGTAATCCTCTGCCTCAGCCTCCCGAGTAGCTGGACTAGGCATGTGCCACCATGCCCGCTAATATAATATATATTAGTTGGCCATTAATTTCTTCTATTTATAGTAGAGATGGGTTCGCTCTTGCTCAGGCTGGTTTCAAACTCCTGCCTCGAGCAATCCGCCGCCTCGGCCTCCGAGGTGCTAGGATTACAGGCGTGGAGCCACCCGCCGCCTATATTAGTTTTTATTTGCTATTATAAAAATTACTGCAAACTTAGGGATTAAAACAACACAGTTTTGTTAGTCTGACACAGGTCTCCTGGGCTAAAATCAAGGTGTTGGCAGAGCTATCTTCTTCTGGAGGCTCTAAAAGAAGAATCCATTCTTGTCTTTTGCATCTTCTAGAGCCTACTTGAAATCCTTGGCTTGTGTCTTCTTTCCTCTATCTTCAGAACTAGCAATAGTGGACTGAGTTCTTCTATCACGTATGTTGACCTTACTTCATCATCACTCTCTTTGACTCCTTATTCTGCCAGCCTCTTTTACATTTAAAGACCCTTGGGATTATACTGGGCACAAATGAGTGTTGCAGAATAGTCTTCTTATTTTAGGTCAGCTTATTAGCACCTATTTTCATTTGCAACTTTAATTTCCCTTTGCCAAAAAGATAATATATTCACAGGTTAGGGGTTAGAACGTGGACATCTTTAGAAGGACTGTCTACCACACATCCTTAATACTTGAGTATGTGTTTCCTCAATTGGAAGACACTTTCTACAATAAAATCATCACATAGGAAATTTTTTTTTTTTTTTTTTGAGACAGAGTCTCCCTTTGTTGCCCAGGCTAGAGTGAGTGGCCGTGGCATCAGCCTAGCTCACAGCAACCTCAAACTCTGGCTCAAGCAATCCTTCTGCCTCAGCCTTCCTAGTAGCTGAGACTACAGGCATGCACCACCATGCCCAGCTAATTTTTTCTATATATATTTGTTGGCCAATTAATTTCTTTCTATTTATAGTAGAGACGGGGTCTCGCTCTTGCTCAGGCTGGTTTCGAACTCCTGATCTCGAGCAGTCCACCCGCCTCGGCCTCCCAGAGTGCTAGGATTACAGGCGTGAGCCACCGCGCCCGGCTCCACATAGGAAATTTAACATTGATCCAGTGTTACTATCTAAACTTCAGATTCCATTCAAAATTTTCAGTTTTCCCATTTATGTCCTTTATATGTCTAAGATAAAACCTAAAATTATGTGTTACATTTATTTGTCATGTCTCTTTAATCTCCTTCAGTATAGAACAGTATTTTAGTCTTTCCTTTTATGACATTGGTATTTTTAGAATGTTTCTCAGTTTGGGTTTGTCTGATGTTTTCTTGTGATTTATTCATTTTTGGCAGGAATACCCCTGAAGTGATACTGTACTCTTCTGAGTACATTATATCAGGAGGCATATGATGATGATTTATCCCATTACTGGTGATGTTAACTTGTATCACTGGTTGAGATGTGTCTGCTAGGTTTCACACTGTAAAGTTAACTCAGTAAGGATGTTGTATTTATTAGTTAATATGTATTTTGTGGGAATACACTTTGAAACTCTGAATATTCTATTGTCAGATGTTTACTCACTGGTATCTGCTGGTGGTAATTTCCTAAATCAGTTATTACTGTGATGGTTACCAAATTGTAATTTTTCTAATTCCATATACCTTCTAGATTGATTTATTATGATAGAATAAAGCTTACTTTCTTTATCAGTATAGATTCAAGGATTCTTATTTTGCCCAAAGGGTTATACTCTGTTAATATGTATTTTGGTGTTCAAATTGTCCCAGACTTGACCAATAGGAATTCTTCAAGATGTCTCCTATGAAACCAATATCTGGGTGCTAGATGTGTTCATTGCTACCAGGATATAATTGCTTCTAGTCCCTCCTAGTAGAGATAGAATATATATGTATGCAGTTTCACACATAAACATACACATACCATATACATGTATGTAAGTATATACATACATCTGTTTATCTGTTTATCTTGTCTTCAGAAGTGGCGTTAATATCTGTTTTTGCTGGTGTCTTCCAAGAAAAGTCCCTATATGTAGATCTTTTTTTTTTTTTTTTTTTTTTTTTT